TAGCTTCAGTGTATATGTAATAAGAATAGTTTGCTCATAAGAATAAGAAGGTTTTTGTGAGAGAAGATATTGATTTTAGAATATATATTGCAACTGGACAAAATGTTAGATCGACATGGAAAGCTATACTATGAGATTGAAAACCTCCACTAGTCAATTAATTGCTCTCGAATGGTATCATTGTATTGGAAGGCAAAACGAGTTCGATGATACTTTCTTGACTATTCTTCTTCTTCGGAAAAGAGGAAGTAAGTTTTTTTCTCTTTAGATTCTCAAAATTATTCAAATGATGTTATTTTCAGATAGAGTTACTGAGATAATTAAGACAATTCAAAGATTTTGAAATTACGAGAACTTGACGTTTGACGGCATGTAATCTTGCCAATAGTTATGGGATCAAATTGATGATTACTTTGAATACCTTGAATCCATGGTGTTTTTGGTAATTGTGACCAACGTTTTTCTAAAGTTTCTTTAAAGATATTGTCAACATCAGAAGATTTAATATAAAATGCTTCAATAGGACGATTGGGTTCATGATCTCCTTTCATTACCTGATGATCATTGACTTGTTGAGTATAGTAAAAAAGATCTTCCGGCGAGAGAAATGCTCTTTCTGCTGTGCCACTTAAGAGATAACGTGTAGCACTAGATTTCACTGTGGTCCTAATTCCATCTACGGGGCCCTTCCCATGAGCCGTTGCTGAAAAGGTCCACGAAGCAGTAAGACCGAAATCGACTTTGTGGTAAGTAAGATTCAGCATATTTTTACCGTTCTTGAAGTGAGCAGTAGCTCCGTCGCTCAAGTAATTTCTAAACAGAAACGAGATAAACAAAATCAAGACGAAGAATGGCTTAGCACTAGAGAAATGACATCCTCTCTAATAGTTTTTAATTTTAATTTTATCCAGGCGACTTTTTCTCTTTGTTTATTGTTTTGATTAATTATTTGTTTTCGAATATATTGTTTAAATATATTAGTCCATTTATAATATCATTCCTCTGTATGTAGCTCACACTTTCACTAGTCTGAAGGTATGCAAAGATTTTCATAGATACTTGTGATCGCAAGTATAATTATTAGAGTTCATTTTGTTGTTAAAATGTGACTCAATGAATAATCAAGTTATTTTCTATTAGTCGAAAAGCAATCTAATCCTAGCAGTGATAAAACAAATAATAAACAAGCTACTAGTGATAAAATTTTCTCTCTCGGATTTCTTATTAAACACTACTTCAGAATGCCAGATATCTTTGCTCATAATGAATGTTAGCGGTACTGATTATACACTGATTAATTTTAAATATAGGTTACGAATTTGGACCTTGTGAAAGTATCCGTAGATGCCGATGAGTTCTCGTACTCAGAATTTATTATACTGAAACTCACATGTTTTTTACGTTCGGATACCATTTTTTAATAAAATCATTGATAGTTCTTTGAGTTTGATAAACAAATTCAGTTGTATGTTTCATATAGTCACTAATAAAAACAAGGTTACGATGTCCAGTACCCATTTTAATGTGTACTGTAAAGATAGAAGCTTGTTTCTGGCTCCAATAAGCTGATTGAACGGCGGCTTGACTCAGAAGTGTAAAATTTTCAGCAAAGTCCAGTTGAACTACAGCAGTACCCTTTTCTGAGGATTCCAATTTAATTTTTTTAATATATTCCCGTTGTTCAATTGTATAAAAGCTATGAATTAAAAATTTACTCCACAAAGAGTCAAGTTTTTCAAGAAGAGTAGTAATGGAAGTAGTGTGACGCTGTAACTCAGTTCTTTTTTCATTTCTTTCCCATATCATCCATGTTACATCGTCGTCTTCATTAATTTCCTTTGCTTTAAGTTGTTCAATGAAAAAAGAAGATGGTAAATTAGTATTACAAATGGAACATTCTCGTGAGTAACAATCATTTGTTTCTTGTTCACAAATCATCAATTTAGTAAACGATCTTAATTCATATAGAGAGTTCATAAGTCTATTTAAGGCAGTTAGTAATAGAGCAGGGTTTTGATGGTATTCACACATACAATTCTATATATTCAAAAAAATTGAAAACTTTGCAGTATGAGTATAGACTTATAAAACAAACTGCAGAGCATACTTCATGTGGTGTTGTTGTTTTAATCCACTTTGGCTTTAATGAACAGAACTTTGACTTTCCTACTCGCATTGATGGATTCTTTTCCAAAAAGAGTTGGTAAGCTTCCCTGAGGGTCATTAACATGTATCGAATAAGTTTCGGATCTTTTTTATTCTTCAAAATATCTTTTTTGTTTGGCGATGCCTGAAATATGAAAAAAAAAGAAACCTTAACTTTCTCTTAAAATAAATGAATTCGCAGGAGTTATACCAAAAAATTCGTATTTCTAAATTTTTTATCATATTTAGAACAATTCAGAGCAACTTTATATTCACTTCAATAAGTATTTTCTATAAAAAATGACTAATCCATCACTAAAAATGTTTTTTCCGATAGAAGAAATTATGAATCTCTTTATTCATAAATGAAACAGATTTCGATTTTAACTTAAATGAAGAAATGAAACAAAGCAATCTGTTAACATTTACAACAAAGACCATTTTTATCTGTGATTGTTAACTTCCTTTTTTTCAGTTAAATGACTTCTCGCTAGTGTAAGAAAAATTATATTCATCAATCAAGCTCTGTAAGATGGCATACCCTACTGATTTCGTCACTATGAAAAAAATTGAAAATTTCTTTTTCAATAACAGGATCAAATGAAATATTTCCTCGTAAATCTATTGGTAATGATAAGATTTGACCTGCATCACGTAAATAAATGCTATATCGAGCTTGATGCTCTGAACATGAAAAAAAATTTGTTATTTTAATTCTGCCCCAATTCACTGGAGCTAATGTAAGTAGTTTAATTTTTTCTGAATGGTCACTACTATCAACAAGTGATTTAAAGTTGTTAACGAGTTCCATAGCTTCATTCATTGTTATAATTGATTGATCGTCAATCAGATACTTTTCTTCTTTCTCTTCACCTTTATATATTTGTTCAGCTGTTTGACGAATAAAGCTCAATGCAACATTAACTTGTTCACGAATAAAATTTCTGTTTCTAATATCTTTTATGGGCGATAGACCTACAAGTGAAAAAACATTATTTAAAAGTTCAACAGATTTTTTTCGATTTAATTGAGAATTCAAATCCATGATTTCTTCTTCTGAAATGTCTGACGACGCATCTTCAGAATCAGAAAGTGACATTATATAACTTGATAATGTTGAAATATTAGATAAAGCTGCACTAGCAGCTGCTCGTGTAGGCGTTGGTTCATCTAGATCCATAGGTGTTGAAGCAGTGGCAGGAGACGTACAACCAAAACTTTTCTTTGCTATATCATAGAACCAAGCACATAGGCTCGATGGACTGCAGTTTTCTGAACACGAGGAATCATCTTGCATATTCAATTTTAACATTGTTTTTTAATTTTGTAGCTT